ACCTTAAACTTGATGGTTACATAATTATTAGAATAAAGCATAAGATGACATAAAGGATTTTTCTAGGGCTCAGATAAACAAAAGTCAATAGGTTCACTAGTTAGATAGTTAAGTGTTTGAGRGATCAAACACTGCATCTTCCCAATACTATGTATAGTAATTTGACGATATTGATAATAAAGGAAATTAAGGTACAGAAACTAGTCCAGGATAGAAAGTTTAAATGCAACTATAAAAATGTAAAGGTTAGAAAATAAACAAAACAAAAAGCAACACTTTTTAGTTCTGTTCTTGTTTTCAACAGCGCAGAAAGTATCTCAAACAAACTTTATAGTGAGTCTAGACCAAGGCTTGTTAAGTATGGAAAGAGGACATTGTGGAAAAAAAATCCTTGAAATACATTTTTCTTTTCACAATCCTTTAAGCAYCAAGATTTAAATCCACTGAATTTGCATCTTATAAAATGACTAATTCCATCACAGAAAAAAAAAAAAAAACATCTGGATGGCAAAATAATAATAATAAATTGCATAAACTGTACAATCCATAATAGGAAGCTTTACTCTGTCAGAACCTGTGAAACCTCCCCACAGGAGGCCAGTTCTGAGATATTATGAATAGGGACAAAAAATGCACAAATAGGAAAGCAACACTATGAATGGAAATATGCATAAATCAATAGACAATAGCTAACACAAAGATGGCTGGTATGAGTCTTCTCTGAATAGTATAAACAAACAAAAAACCCACCTTGCTTTTAACTCTCTTAAGTGCCTTATTAACCTTATAAACAATGTACGCATGGTATGGAACATCAACAACTCCAGACTGTCTTTGTTTGTATTKTATTTAACATGGATGTGGTGGGATATGTGCAGACAGTGCTGTGGTGTAAATGAGCAGCTGGAAAGCCCAGCCTGTCAACAGTAGATGCTAAAGAAACACATTTTGCCTTTGGCTTTTTAAGAGCTTAACAGGACTAAGCATGCAGTTTACTGTTCATGTTTGGACTCCATTGTATTCCAGCTGAATATGTGTTGGGCTACTTACTTCTTTCATCTGAAGAAAACCTTAATAATCCACCTCAATGACTCTTCTTTTCCTTCTTTTCATTTTTTTTTTGGCTAAATTTTACAATATACTGTAAAAAGCCACAAAAGCAACTAGGGGGGAAAAAATGAACTTACCATTAATCTGTCCTTCCAGAGGTAAACGAAATGAAGCTATAGAGGTTTGTGTGTGAGGCACAGAGTTGACGCATTTACATAAATGTGCACACACGCTCCACACATTAGGCCGTGAAAAATTCCATACTTACGTTTGAGTAGATTTCAATAATCCGGGAACAAAAGTCTTGACTTGGATTTTGACTTTTTTAACACTAAATTATAAAATGAGCATTACAGAAACAAACAYAAAACTAAAATATAAAATTAAAATGACTCATTCCTTCTGACCTGCACAACAGGAAGTGTTAATTGTGTTGCCTTGTTCTAACAAAGCAAAACAAAAATATCCGTTTCAGCTTTTGACCGTTTCAGATGCATCCAGACTTGCGGCAGGCGTGTCAGTAGAAACTCACATTGACCCACTATGCCAGCCAGCGCCGTCTTGAACTTGTCTTTGGCCTCCTCCATCTCCTTCTCGTGCTGGCTCTTCTCGCTCATTAGCCGGCGAATGTGGCTGTTAGACGACTGGATCATGGAGTAGAAGTTATTGGCATTTCTGCGGTTAACTTCACCTCGTTCCAGCCAAGTCAAGAGTACACGCACTGCTTCTGCAAATTTGCCATCGTCTGGACAAAAAGTGGAAAGGAGACAATGGAAAAAAGAATCAAACTCTGAGTAAATGGTAAAAGGACTGCACTTATAAAGYGCCTTTCTAGCCAGCCAGGCTAATCAAAGCACTTTACAACGCAATATGTGCCCTCATTCACTCATTCCCACACATTTTTACAGCACTTTACTACATCTCTACAAAACYAATCAAAACTAATTATTCTATAGAGTCTAATCAGGGCTTTGGACTACATTAATACACAGATGAGGTACATATCAAAGGCAGCGGGGGGTTCAGTGTCTTGCCCAGGGACACTTCAACATGTGAAGCACACTGGTAGAATTGAACTTCTGACCCTCTTGTTGGAAGACGACTGATCTAACCAATGAGCCACAAACGCCCTTAGACTTTGCCCRATCCCTTCACAGGAAATGTATTTTATTCCTCCATGTTGCATATGTCATTGAAAGTGGTACACAAAATTTAGACCAAATACCCGCCCCAAAAAACAAGGGTAACGCTTTCTTTTACTGTACACTTATTACCATGTAATTACAAGGTAATAAAAGTAATTAAATGCAATTACTACCTTATTACCATGTAATTACAAGGTAATAAAAAGTGTAATTAAATGTAATCACTACCTTATTACCATATAATTACGTGGTAATTAGGGTACAATTTTACTCTGTGATTAATTGTCTGCAGT